GTTTTTTTACCGTTTCCAACAAAAATGCCCCTTAAAAATGGCAACGGCAAAACAAACGGCGACCGGAAACGGCAAAAAAACGGCTCCAGGACTGGAGCCGGAGCCGGAAGCGGTCAAAAAACGGCGACGGAACCGGTAAAAAGGGCGTCGTAAGCGGCAACAAAAACGGCAAAACGTAAGCGGCAACAAAAACGGCAAAACGCAAACGGTAACAAAACGGCCCTGTCGTTCCCAGGGCCCACTAAGGGGGAGGGCGTGCCGAATTCAGGGTCGGGCAGGTCCCTCTGCAGGCGCATTTTGGATGACAAATAAAACGCAGCCAACGGATGCCCCCAAAATAATTGACGGAGCACGAGACATGGGTCACCAGACTGTCTTTGGAACTATTCTTGGATCCCCCTCCTGCAGAAGGGCAAGCCCGACTGAATGCTGGATCTCTGAGGGGAAACGTCAGGGGGGGACCAGCTCAGAGGAGGAACCATCGTGCTGGAATCGGCGAGACATCGTCGATAGATCGATGCTGGGCTCCCGATGGCGGAACCATCGTCGTCCTGGAATCGGCGAGACATCGTCGATAGATCGATGCTGGGCTCCCGATGGCGAGTCCTCACGTTCCAGGGCCGGGCGGGGTGTCGGGCCTCTGTATCGGCGAGAGGGGGAACCATCGTCCTGGAATCGGCGAGACATCGTCGATAGATCGATGCTGGGCTCCCGACGGCGAGTCCTCACGTTCCTGGACCGGGCGGGGTGTCGGGCCTCTGTAATTATCGGCGAGGCGAACGGGGGTCGATGCATCCTGCCCTGATCCCCCGATGATGCTGCCCTCGAATCTCGCCCAGGCTCCGCATGTTTTTTACCCGGTGGCGCACGGGCCCTCGGAGCGCTCCAACCGCACTCACAGGCAGCGGGGACCGAGAGGTGGGAGCGGGGATGAGGGGAGGGCAGGCACAGGGATGGCACGAGGGGTATGCGAAGCGGGGGAAGGACCGTTCCTCACTCGTCGCCCTCCGCCTGTTCATTACTCGTGCCATCTCGTGCCCAGTGTCCGTGCGCAGCGTGGTGCAGGCTGGGCGGGCGGGGGGGGGGAGGCTGGGAGCGTACGAGAGGGGGGACAGGAAAGGGGGGAGGGCTAGCACATCATCTGCACGCAACTGTTTCTTGGTGGGGGCGCCCAAATAGCAAGGATGACAAACGCCAAGCCGCGGGGCCGATACCAAAGATGCAGAAGATTGCGTCACACCTCCTAACCTCAACCACCTATTTCGTCCGACCGGGGCACGTAGATCTCGCCCATTCTCCCCCAAGCGTTTCCTGCTCCTCCTTCTCCTCCCCTTTCTGCTGCTTCCACTCGCGCCCCCTCGTTCCCCATTTCCGTCGGTATCTCGCAACCCGTTTCGTTCTTAGCCGTCGTCCGTGTCCTCCTCCTCCTCCTCCTCCTCCTCCTCCTCCTCCTCATTCTCCCCCTCGCCGCTCCCCACCAGCGCGTCCCCTTCAAGGTGGAGGAGAGGATGCTGACTCGGGGAAGGAGTTGGCCAGAGGGTTGACAGGCGAAGGAAAACGTGAAAGGACAAATAAGGGGGGAGCAGGCGAGCGGGGGCAGAGATGGGGCACAACGCCAATGCGGGCAATACTTCTATCCATATCCAGAGCGTCGTGGACTTGTTGGGAAGGGGTGCCGCAAGGCCGAAGCACACTGGATTTGGGTAATAATCGAACCTTCTGGGGCGAGATTTTTATCCATATCCAGTGCGCCTCCGGTTTCTGGGGAAGAGAGCCCAAAGCTCCAAGACGCACTGGATGTGGAAATAACTGTTGCCCGCAGCCAATTCCAATACTTCAATGAACCCAGCGTGAGCCGCATTAGTGGAAGAAACGCTTTTTAAGCGGCATCACGTTGCCTTGCTGGCAGAAGTACTACTTTGCTTCGCTTGTCATTGCATTCCGCTTCTTCGCAGAAACAAGGTCAAGAAACCTGGGGAACACCAGAAAGGCCTCCTCGAAACCAGTAAGGAAACACAAGGAACCTGGAGGACCCCCAGGAAGGCCTCTTCAAACACAATAACAATCAACACCAATGAATTGTGGGAACCCGGGGAACAGAAGTCGCAAAACAAGCTGGACACATATTCAAAACATTTAAAGCACCCGGAGAACATCTCTTCAAAAACAATCAAGAAACAAGACAGAAGAACCCACAGAACCGGAAGAAAGCCTCTTCAAAGAACCCAGGCAACGCCTCCTACAGAACCAAGGCCAAATAACCAACGGAAAGACGCCGCTGTAAAGAAGCAGGACCAAAGAACCCAAGTGAATCCCGACGGCAGAAAACAATACCAAAGAACCCCGGAGAACCCGGCGGGTGACGACCACGTCCGACACCCCCTAGTTTGCACAAACAAATAAACACCCCAAATGCAGAGACTAACTGAGGAAACAAAAGCAGCAACATGGAACGCCCCAGACATACATATTTTTATATATATACACAACTGCAGACGCATGATGATGCGTACACATCCAGTCATACGGATGTGCACATACATATCGACACATGTCTATACACGCGTACATGTTGTATATACATAGACTAGGTACACGCAAAGAAATCGTATCCGACCGTCGCCGCGAGCCAGTACTGCTGAGCCCTCTTCTCGGGAGCGCCAAGAGGGGGGTGTCCAAGAGGGGGGGGTGCAAATCATGACGGGCGGCATGTGCGCGGCCCAGCGGGGAGGCCAGGTACGTAATGAAATAAGAAGAGGCGGCATGAAATGTTGAGAAATATCGTGGCCCCCGCCATGATATCCCCCCCCCCCCTAGTCATCACCACCCTCTTTTCCGCCCCCGATCTTCGAGCCCCCTTTGGGCCGTCTCCCGCCGCCATCGGATCGTCTCTCAGGGGTCTCCTCCGGGTCTCTCAGAGCACGCTCTCCGACGAGGACTCCGCGGCGAGTCCAGCGCGACAACGATGGTCGAACGAGATGCGGCTTACGCCTGCACCGATCCTGGCCGGGCGGGCCCGAGGTCGGTGCACACGCCCTCCCGGCTCGGCCAGGGAGGCGCGGGCACCGGATCCTGGGGTCTGCCTCGCACAGCCGCGGGCAGCCTCTGGAGGAGCGCGTGCCCGAGCGGACGTCGACCCGCCACCTCCACGCGTCTAGCTTGCCAGGCCGCAGGCTCCACGACCCTGTGCACTGGGACTTATGAGGGCATGCGAGTGCTACGCGTCCACGTAGGAGGCGGACGTCTGCCACGAGCATGTAGCACGACCAAGCTGCAGCATGTCGTTACCCCAGAGGCTCGGCCAAGCCACGCCCGCCACGGTGCTAATACTACAGGGCGTTCCAGCGATCGCGACGCCCCTGTGATGAGCGACGCAATACAACCATGTCTCAGCCCGGTCGATGCATGTGCAGATTGCTCTCATGCGCAACATCGCCAACGACACGGCATCGACATCCGAACACCAACACCTCAGTGATACGCGTTCTCTGCAAAGCCCCACGGCACGGCGAAGCGAGACAAAAAAAGAGAAGGAGCAGGTCTCGACTCTACCTTGGGTTCATCAGTCCTTCGTGCCACTACGGGGGAAACTACAATTAGCATGACCCCCTGGAGGGCGACGAGGAGGGCCACCGCGCGGTCAACTAATTCGATCATGGTCGTCCGAGGCGAAGAGGCCGAGAAAAAAGTGGGCGACGAGGAGGGCCACAACGCGGATATCTTATCAGATCGTCGCCAGAGCCGCACCCCCTTCATCCCCTCCCCTCGGCCCCTTCTCGTTCCTGCTCGTCGAGACCTCGCGGGCCCTGCGGGGCAGCGAACCGCGAAACTGTCGCCATTTTCGTGAGCTCCTGAGAGGTCCAGCGGAGTGGAGGTCCACGCAGATCTGCCGAGACCTCGCGGCTCCCTGCGGCGCAAGTGTCGCCATTCTCGTGGGCTCCTGGGAGCCCGAAGGAAACACAAAACAAAGACTAACAACAAACAAACGGCGGCGGCGAGAAGCGGCAGTAGCACGCGCGCCCGCCGCGGGGCCAAGGGCAGCCTCGAGGCCGTCCCTGGCGGAGGAGCTGGACCGCCAAGCCGTCGTAGCCGCTCGTCGTCATCATCACAACATCGTCGCCGTCGCCGTCGCCGTCGCCGTCGCCGTCGTCGTCGTCGTCGTCATCGTCGTCCTTACGTCATCGCCGTCGCCGTCGCCGTCGCCGTCGTCGCCGTCGCCGTCGTCGTCGTCGTTGCGTCGTCGCCGTCGCCGTCGCGTCGTCCTCGTCGTCCTCGTCGTCCTCGTCGTCGTCGTCGTCGTGCTTGTCGCGGAGACCGCGCAATCGCCGGCGTCGTCATCGTCGTCGTCGTTCGTCGCCGTAGTCGCAATCGCCGTCGTCGTCATCGTCGTCGTGGTCCTCGTCATCGTCGTCGTCATCGTCGTCGTCGTCGCCGTCGCCGTCGGTGTCGGCGTCGGCGTCGGCGTCGCCGTCGTAGTCGCAATCGTCGCCGTCGCCGTCGCCGTCGTCGTCGTCACTCGTCGCTCGCCGTGTGGCGGCAGCGCGGCCTCCGCAGGCGGGTCCTCGCGCCGCTCGTGGCTCTTCGGCGCTCGTGGCCGCCGTCGTCGTCGCTCGTTGCCGCCGCCATCGGCCGTCGCCGACGTCGTCTTCGTCGCAGCCGTCGCAGCCGTCGCCGCCGGTCATCGCTCGTCGCCGTCCTGGCCGCCCGTCGCCGTTCTGGCCGCCGCGTCATCGCTCGTCGCGGCGTCGCTCGTTATCGAGGCCGCGCCGCAGCCTCCAGGGCGGCTCCCCAGCCTCTGGAGACCTCGGGATCGCGAGGCCAAAGACGCACCGAAGCCTCGATCGTCGCCGTCGTCATCGACACCCTATCCTAGGTCCTCCTCGACCATCGATCCTCGATCTCCATCCAAAATGCTATACCCTAGACCCCTCCATCCTAGGCCCTCTATCCTGGATCCTCTCCTCGCGAAACCTCGACCCTCTATCCTAGACCCTCCTCGACGCCCTCCCCGATCCTGGTTCCACCCTAGCCGTTTTCTTCCTCTGCCCGCGGCGACCAGGCAGGATTTGAAAATCGGAGCTGGCAGCCTGCAGGACTGGAGTGCAAGCGTAGTCCTGCAAGAAGGAGAGGGCAGAAATATTCGTTTCTGAACGAAACGCAATCTGATCCTGCGTCGACTCGCGGCCCTCGACCCCCCGCGAACTTTTTCTGCGCGGCGCGTCGGCAGAGTTCTGGAGCTCCCGCGCGAGCTGGAGGGATCTCGCCGACCGGCCACGAAGGGGGGACCTGTGTGTCCTTACCGCGAGCAGAACGTGTTTGCTCTGAGAGGCGGGCCTTCGCCCGGAATGTGGTGTTCACGACTTGCTGAGCGTCTCACGTTCACAAACCTGCACCGAAGAGTGTCCGCTATTATGTGCGCGATGGCGGGTACGAAGGCAACTTCATGGTCATGCTCTTGTCCCCGACTTGCCCCCTTGGGGGGTACCCGTCATATCGACGATCTCTCGCAAAAGCTTCCTGAATCGGGTGGGCATAGATGGGGTCGGAGGATCGCGCCGCATCGCCGATACACGGGCGATGCAACGGAGATGCATTGGCGATGCATCGGCGATGCATTGGCGATGCATCGGCGCTGTCGGCGTGAAGAAAATATGGCTCCACATCGAGTCGCATCGGCGATGCTTCTGCGATGCGGTGTTGTCCACCGACCCCGTCTGCTCCGACCCCACCTGGGAATCCCAGATCTCGAGAGGGATGTCGAAGACAATGCCCCCCCCAGGGAGGGCAATGGCACCCACAGGAGAGGAGAACATCCTTCAAGAACATGAAGCCCCCCGCCGGCCACAACGAAGAGCCTTCGAGGGTAGCCTCCCCCAGGATGCACAAGGGCATCCAGCAAGCACGACGAACACAGTTTTTGGTCGGCGGGGCGAGAGCGAACGTCTTCCGCTAAAAGCTAGGCGGGGCTACGCACAGCTCTAATTGGGGAGACAGGGCACAGGCGGGCGGGGCCTCAGGCGGCCGGAAAGGGCGGGGCCCGGCCGGGGAGTTTGCACAGGAAAAGGTACGCCGTGGACAGGAGCCGGAGGCGAAGACCCGGAGGGTGAGCGATGTGGTGTTGCCGTCGACGGCGCTCCGTAAACACCATCCTCAAGTGCTGCATAGGAGGACGTTGTACACGACCAGGTCGACGTCAAGGGGGGATAACTCCACCAAGCACGACGAACACAGGGGCACCCTCCCCGAACCGACCCCATCTTCTGCCTCGGCCCGGCTGCAGCGAGACCGCAGCTCCCCCCGTAAGCGGCTGGCTGGTCTCGGGGCGGCCGGAGCCCCCCTCTCCACTGCTGTGCCTGTTTCCCACCACCACCACCACAAGAAGTTGGAGCGGGGAAGGAGGTGGAGGAGGAGGAGGAGAAGGACGAAGAGGACGAAGAGGAGGAGAAGGAGGAGGAGGCGGATGAGGAGGAGGCGGATGAGGAGGAGAACGAAGAGGAGGAGGAGGAGGAGGAGGAGGAGGAGGAGGAGGAGGAGGAGGAGGAGGAGGAGGAAGAGGAGGACCCCCCTCCCCTCCTACTGATGGTGGTGGCGGTGGAAAACAAGCCCACCGTCCGGCGTGGCCCTCACAGCTCCCCGCGCTCGCGCGCCCTGCTCGCCTGGTTGATGGCCGCGCCCAACTCCGGGTGCCTTTTTCTCGGGTCGGCCCAGGCGTTCCGCGGCTGTCCCGTGGTTGTCCCTCGGCTGTTTCGGTTGCCGTCTCCTGATGGCTGTCCTGCTGTTTGTCGCGGCGGCTGCCCCGATGGTTGTCCCGATAAGCGGTCCGATGGTTGACCCCGTCTGGCGCGATGGTATGCCCAATGGTTGATCCAATGGCTGTCCCGACCGTCGTCCCGGTGTTTCTCATGATGCTTCTCCCGATGGTTGTCCCGATGGTCGTCCCGATAGCTGTCTCGATTGTCGTCGTGATGGTTGTCCCGATGATTGTCTCGATGGTTGTCCTGACGGTTGTCCTGATGGTTGTTGCGATGGTCGTCCCGTGGTTGTGCCGTGGTTGTCCCGTGGTTGTCCTGCAGTTGTCCCGCGGTTGCCCTGCAGAGAGTAAAGATAGATGGGCATGCAGCACAGGAGGGAGGTAGGGAGGCATGGTGGGGGGGGGGACGGAGCAGGAGCGAGAAAAGGGAAAGGAGAAGGGGGAGGAGGACGAGGTGGAGGCGGAGGAGGGCGAGGAGGAGGAGGGAGGAGGGAGGAGGGAGGAGGGGGAGGATGAGAGGGGGGGTAGGACAGCCTCGTCAGGAACTCGTGCATCTGGTCGCGCACGCTCAAGCCCAATGCATCACCACCGTGCGTGAAGGTGGCGAGGAAGCTTGATCCTCGCGCCTCCTCCTCCTCCTCCTCCTCCTCCTCCTCCTCTTCCTCTTCCTCATCCTCTTTCCTTCTCTACTTGGCACGGCTGCAAAGGGTCCTGATGGAAGCGGGTCCTGCATGCTGGGACTTCTTCCAAGGACCAGCTTTTCACCAGCCATGTCCCATTGCCAATAGCGCTCAAGCCGTCCCGCTGAAGGCGATCCGCTGCAGGGCGATTCGCTGACTGTGCAGGAGAGCCGGCCACGCTGCGTCCCGGACTGCTGTCTGACGGCCCCCGGGCCCGCAAACGGCCCCAAAGGACCCCGAAGACGGCGGGAGGCCTCATCACCCAGGGATGCGCGGCGATCCGCGCAGGAGGCATCTGCGAGAACCACCACCATGTCTGGGGAAACCAAAAGGTACCGATTCCTGCTACTCCCCAGACCTCTCCTGGGGTGCGTTCCGACGAGAATTTCGAAGCGACTCCAGCGGTGGCGACGAGGGAGGCCCAGGAGACCCAAAAGGGGGAAAACGAGGAGAGGGTAGAGGTATGGGTACCTTTCCCTCCTCTGAATGCCTGGCCAGCCGAGCATGGCGCATCGTGCCTCTGGGGGGGGGGCTGGGAGCGAACACCGAACGACCCGCTGCCAAGCACGAACAAGAAACCCTCCACAAGAGAAAAACCCAACCCTGAGATCCCATGGGGACGTCACCGAATTTTCGTGGTGAGAGAACGCCACGCTGTCCACGGCAAGACCATCGAAACCCAGGGCACCCTGGCGGCAAGCAGCGGCAAGACCATCGAAACCGAGGTGCGTCCCGTCATAGGCCCCCACTGTGCACCAGCCCAGGGCGGCCAGGAAGTATGGCTGCCTCCGAAGGGGGAAGCCGGGAGCGAACACCGAACGATCCGCTGCCAAGCACGACGTGCACGCCCTCCGTGCCTCGACCCGGCAAGCCTGGATCGTGGAGGCCAGCCCACAAGAAACCTTGCACAGGAAACCCAATCCTGAGACCCCAGGGGGCGTCCACTGATCTTTTTGGTGAGAGAACGTCATCGCGCTGCCCGCAGCGAGGCCATCGACACCCGAGAAGCCCAGGGCACCCTGGAGGCAAGCAGGGTGTTTCTTCGCCTGGGCCCCCACTGCACACCACTAATACCGGGGATGGACAGACCCCCCTTTAGTAAAACGTGGTTTAGTGAAAACGACCTGAGGCCTAAACCTGGAGGGCGCAAACCTGGAAAATAACGGCCACGGCGCCCTCTCGAGAACCGAAAACGGACAATTCACTAATCGACGTGTCACTGTTGGGGGTTCTGTCCACCCCCGAGGGGCGCCCCAGAGGCCCCCAGAGGCCCCCAGGAGGCCCCCAAGAGGCCCCTGAGAGGCCTCCAACCTGCCTCCGAGGAGGCCCCCGGGCGGCCTCCCACGAGATTCCAACGAACATCCGCTAGGCTTACCCACGGCCCAGGCACCGTGACCGGGTCCAGCCCCGATAAATACCCCAGGACGGCCGGGCAGCACGGCGGCCTCGTGCGGACCCTCCTCCCTGCGAGGCGCGCGTCCTCCTCGGCCAGATGCGCCCCTGGAGGCCAGAGGCCGGGGGGCCGAAGGACCCTGCCCTTCGATCCGCGGCCCTCGCCGGGGGCGCGCAGACATGGATCAGCGATCCGTGGATCTGGCGCGCGGTCGCCAAGTCCATGGATCGGGGGAGGTGCCCTCCCCAGAATGCGGCCGGTGCCGCCTCGCTCGGCGGAGGAACTCCGCGACTCCCCGTGGAAACGGGACCCGTCGCAAATCCACGCCCCCTTGACCCCTGTTTGCGATCGCCCAACCCGATCCTCTCCCCCGCTTCCTTCCTCTCCCCTCTTGAGCAGGGACCGATCGTCCCGGCAACCCTATAGTCCTACCACGAAATGTTCTTAGAACCCAAAAATGTTCGAAGAACAAAAAAAGGTTCTTAGAACATTAACCCGATGTGTTAAACCAAGACAGACTCCGCCAGACATGTTCTAAGAACATTCACTGGAAATCGCAAAAGGTTCTTAGAACCCTGTTTGGTAGGGCTATAGGCGAGCCAGGACGCTTCGCCACTGCTTGAGTCCTTCCTCTCCCCTCCCCTCGTGCGAGGAGGAAGCTGGCTCCTGGGCGCCCGGCGATGCGTCGGCGATGTATCGGCGACGTCGGCGATGCGTCGGCGATGCGTCGGCGAAGTCGGCGTGTGGAAATACGCTCTCACCATCGAGGAGCCCATCCAGGAGGCCCAGACTCGACCTCGGTCCGATCCTCTCTCCCGCGTCCTTCCTCTCCCCTCCCCCCGCGCGCGAGGAGGAAGCTGGCTCCTGGGCGCCCGGCCTCCTTCTGCACGTCTCTGTAGTCCGCCCGCGCCACCGCCCGCCGAGTGGGCGGCAGGCCGGCCCAGGCGCGCTTCGGCGCGGGCATCGACTCGACTGGACCCGGTCCGCGGCCATTTCGGCGGTGGACAAACCTCCCTTAGCAAAACCTCCCCTTAGTGAAACGGCCTGGGACCGAGACCGACGGGCCTGGACCCGCAAGAATGACGGCCGCGACGCCGTCTCGCGACCCGAAAACGGCCAATTCCTCAATCGACGTGTCGGGGTAGGAGGTCTGTCCACTCCCGAGGGGGATCGACT